TGCTGTCGTACTACATATAGGTATAGCGTGTGTACAGCGCAAGGATCAACTTTACTACTGCCGAAAGCAATTTTGCAACTCTCGTTTATACTCTGCAGGATTTTAGTACCTGACAGATGGTAAAAGTGACATTGACACTTTTATTGTAGCACATTAATTTGCTTAAAGTCTGATTTTATCTAGCGTTATACAGCCGTAAAATGGCATAATTTTGTCATGGCAACTTTGTGTGTCTGCAGTTAGTTGCCAGTACATTTTCATAATTGCTTGTCAGATGCACACACAAATTGCACAATTTGATATCAAATTTTAAGTTATTTTGTTTGCCGGATGCTGGATGCTGGATGCTACTTTCATTTTATTTGATGTATGCAAACAAAACGAAGACGTTATACATACAAAGAAAATGAAGTCAGTTAAAAAAAACCAGAAAAAAATAAATAATAAAATGAAATAAAAAATATTTTCAAAATTTATATGAACGAAATTTTGGCAATTTAAAAATTTTGTATAGTACAAACAAAAATTGTATAAACACAACTGTCTAAATATTATTTAAAACAACAAAAATATTTCTTAAGTTGAGTTCATGAATGTACTAAATGAAGGTCCACTTCTGCTTATAAAAATTCATATATGAATAATTTGTCATCTATTGAGAATATGCATCAGAAAAATAAATAATTATTTTTAAAGTATAATTCGATTTGTCATCGAACCAGCTGTATGGTCAGCCAAAAATTCAATTAATTAAAATAATTTAAAAAAAAAAAAAAAAAATAAATAAATAAATTTTTGTTGTTGTTTCACTTCTGTTCGAAAACCTCTTTATATAATTTAATAATATTCAATAACATTCAAATAAATTTAAGCGACTATTTTTCTTAACTATTTTTATAACTCATAAAATAGTTCCATAAACCTTCTCTTAAGTACAAGATAATCAGTATAAGTACAGGAGTACAGGATACAGAATAGGTGCAGGATAATCAAGAGGATAAGTAATTTCTTTAAGTATTACCCATAGGCAATACTAAATATTGCCATTGATCTGGCATTACTGTTCAAAAATAAATAGCATAAATATCATTACAACGTTTTAGTTTACGCGCGCTTATTGTGTCGTTTACATCGATTCAAAAATAACAACCAATGAATCATGGATTTGCGCCTATGAGCCTGAAATAAAATAGCAATCCACTGTTTGGGTCTTCCAAAGTACGTCATACCTGACTAAAGTTAACCGCGGAAGGAGCAAATTCAAGCAAATGGTCGCATGTTTTTTTTGGGAAGAAGTGGTCACTTCGTAGCTGTACCACTTGAGCAACGTAGAACGGTCAATTCTAAGTAATACACAACCATTTATTTACCGGAATTATTCGAAGAATTAAAGAAATTTAACCGTCGATGAAAGATCATCCTCCACCAAGACAATGCGAGCTACTACACATCAACTCAAATAAAAGAGTTTTTGAACATTCAACATAACGAACTGATGAATCATTCGCCTTACAGTCATGACTTGCCACCCAATGACTTCTTCTTGAAAAACAATAACAGTTACCACTTGAGAGCACTTCATGGAAATACCGTGATAATTTAGGCTACTTAGTCTCGATATATTTATTACCAAAAGTGGAAATCAGAGTTCCGTCAACGAATTGGTTTGTCTCGTCAATTTTTTTGAATAATTTTATTTAATGGTAAAGGATGAGAAAACTGTAATTACAGCCTGATAGTCAATTGAAAGGACTTGTACTTGAAATGGTTTGCAATTAGCCGACATACCTCCCCATAGTATTGTTCATTGTGCATAATAATTTTCCATTGGAAATATATATATAGTTATATATATATATATGTTTTAATGCATTATATTCGCATGTTTACATGAAATTATGTTTTTAAAAAATGACATCATGAATGCGAACAAATCTCAATTAATGCATGTTTTTGATTTACAATACATATATAATTCATATTTAAAAATTGTACTAGTTGTGTTAATTTACTGGTCTATATTAAATAATTGTAAATATTATTTATATATGTTGGTTGTATTATTAGCAAAACAAAACTGTTGGTTAACTAAACTTTAATATTTTTTGAACAAGGAAAGATGATAAATGCAGATTGTTATCTGTTTATAACTTCCTTTTCCATTTTCAATTGTTATTAAATTAAACTAAATTTTTTTAGTGCTAATTATTCTACAATGCTTTAAGAAATCACAATAAAATTTAAAATCAATTTCTTAACACCATAGTCCAGTATGAACCTTGGCTTTCCTCACGATCTGCCTCCATCTGTCCCTATCTTCTGCTACTCTCTTTCAGTTCAGTACTCCAATCGTTCTTGCATCGTCATACACGTTCTCATCTCATCTTGTTCTTTGCGTACCTCTGTGCCTGGTTGGTATCGGCTTTACGTTGAATATGCTGTTCGGAAAATCAATTTATTGAAATGAAAATGTTGTTATAACAGAGTTATTCAATTTAATCAACATTTTCTTAGAAGAATTCTACAAAGACAGAAAGAAACTATTTTGGAATTTAAATGAATGGCATGCTTTTCTGGTCCTTGCTTGCTAAGATTGCCGCAAAGATTGATTCTGAATCATTCCAATTCATGTCTAAGGAGAGAATAATGTTTGTTTTTGCTTTTGTCTTACAGTACAAATAAACAATAGTAGTCATTTTAATAAAAAAAAAGACGACAACGTTCCTCTGTGTCAGAATAAAATTCATTAGTTTCATTCTTTTACGATTTGCGATTTAGTTCAAATTTGAAGGTCTGGTCAAATCATATCGGATAATACATAGTTTTTTGCGTATCTTTAAGTGTAAGCCTTATAAAAACCTTTTGTAAAGTTCATATTTTTGCTGCGGAAGAATTTATAAATACATATAATATCATTCCTTTATTATTATTCCTTAAAAAACATGGCTCTGAAATAACAACACTATGATCTTAATATTTGATTTGATTTATAAGACGCTAAAGACCTTGTCCATTCCATATTAGTCACTGTTGGAACTATCTTAATATTTGTTGTTCTAAAAGTGTAACCTTTTCGAACCTGTAAATTTGTAATATTTTCGATCTGTAGCTTTCCGAACCTACAGATCAAAAAAGAATATTCTCTGACCACTAGACGCGCTGGATTCTTTATGAACATTGGTTTGCAAAAGTTTAAATTTTTGACTGCATTCGAGTGTTACTCTTTCATCCTTCCATTACATAAAATTTAACTGCTTCTAGAATTATTTCTATTAAGTATACGAAGTTTAAAGTAATGGATATATAACTGCAGTTCCATATCTATTGATGTTGAACAGCAGTATCTTTGAATATAGTAATTCTGGCCATAACATTTTTCTTTGTCTTTATTTGTTGTAATGCTCCCAATGCATGTTATTGATTATGCAAATTGTGGATCCTCAGCAAATTGAATAGGTGTAACCCTATATCCGTTGCTCATGATCTCACTTTATTCCTTAAAAACTTCGAGGTCAACCTTTAAAAAATTTATTTACAATGAACTTACTGTAAAGACTAAAACAGATATGGTAAACCAGACACAGGTCATCAGTATTGATTTTAATCCAATAAGCTTACTATTGCATTAGAAATTTTAGCTAGAATAATCGATGTAAATATTGTCCTTGGAATGGAAAGCAATCTTATGGGTTTTTGGTTATACCACTCAAAAATATCACTCCAAGCATTTGGTAATTTAATCAAAACGCCCTCACTCTTCTAACTTGGTAACTCTATGATTTCTAATATTTGTAGAATAAAAAGCAGCTATATAAGTCGTCGCTGATATTGAGATATTTCCCATGAATGTTATCATTTCCTGAGGACTTGTTGTTCTTCAGTAATGATAGTAAATATCTCAACTTGTGTTGATAACACAAAATTAATTTCTCAAAATCCGTGTATCAAATAAGTCATCTTCAATAATAATACCGTACGCACTATTAAACACTTCGGTAAAATTTTCCGCCTATCTGCGTACTTGTTTAACTCTGCTTGTAAGTGAATTATTGGTTTAGTCCTTAATAGACTTCAACTTGAAGCAATTGAAAATACAAAAGTCCTTTTCATTTATTTATTTATTTTTTTTTTGGAGAAAAAAAAATTTATATGCTTTAAGAATATTTGAATATATATACAGGTGGTTAAAAGATTATTTTTAAGGTCATTTATGAAAGAATAGTTTTGACAGTTTCGAGTTGCTTTGTCTCGAGTGCTCAAAAACTCGCTTAGCCCTTGCTTCCATTTTGACAGGTTCCAAGTTTAAAGCTTGCAAGCCAATAATTATATAAAACCAACGCATAAGTCCACAGACCATTGATGATGAAAAATTGACAAAAATCTACTACTACTTTATTTCTTCATTCCTAAGAAGAGTCTAGAGACTTAACAATTTCCCTAAACCTTCATTAGCACACTCAAAACAATATACTCTAACCATATACTAATTAATAAAACCTGATCATTTTGTTAGAAAATTATAAGCTCATGTGGTAAACAAGATATAAAGATACTCGACGCTTTGAGTCGAGCTTTAGTTAAGCTTTAGTTAAAATCCGGTCAAGTCAATTAAATTATTTTTCTGAATGCAGTGACGTCGTTCCAGGTATAATTGGTCTTTCGTATTTCTTTTTTAATCGTACGCCTTCATGTCCTAGCTGGTGCCCCAGGACATCTAAAATCTTGTGGGATCCAACAGAGAGCCTGTCAATCGATGTTATTATTTGGTCGTCTTCTTACTTTGTGTTCGATCCAGTTCTATTCACATACGATATATCTCATACGATACTTGTGATTGCATGGTGCGTGCACATAAATCATTGTTCATTGATCATTATAAAGCTCTCTAAACAGCTGTAAAATCAGTCAAAAAAATTTAATTAATTAAAATAAAACTTTTTGTCTTAAATTACACTAAATTACTCTAATTTACTCTAAAAAATCTCTTTTTTATATTTCAGTTGCCTCAGTCCGAATTAGATGGGATTGATCCAAATTTTAAGCGATTCCGTGTGGAGACTGGAGATTCGCTTGCTGAAAAAGATGAGGTAAGAAGCGAGTTATAACAAATAATGATACTTATTATATATTTAACATCTGAAAAGAACAAATGTATATATTTATATAATTTTAAATGTGTTAATAAACTTAACACTTCAAATTCAGTGCAAATTGATTCACGCTGATTAGTTGGCATCGTTGCCAGACAGCAGACGCAGTATAAAAAACCTAATTACAGTATTTTTTATAGGTTAAGACATAAAGAATGAAAATAAAATGTATCTTTATAGTATATGTGTTTTTATACTTAGCTCCAGCAGCTCAAAACAAACTCATGAAAGATTACAAGGCTACTCACTTCATGGAGTTTTATTCACAGCGTGGATATAAAAATTTTAAGAAAATTTTTAAGAAAACTCAAACAAATTTCTTAGCTCAATGAAAAATTGTCAAAACAAAGTTTATGTATTTATGTGTTTATATATTTTTTATGTATCTTTGAAATTTTTCACTTTTTCATAGTCAGAAATTCTATTATTTTTTTCAAGGAAGTGTACCATTTGGTTTCACAAGTTGCGCTGTGATTGTCACACCTTTTCAATACTTTTGGCAGTTGAAAAATATTCACAAATTTTTTATTTTCTTGTCAAAAAGTGCACAAGTGCAAAATTTCCAAAATTGAAATTTGAGGTCCCAGAAACGCACATATTGAGATACTCGAATAAATGTTCGTTATTAGTTTGTTCGGTTAAGTCTTTTTTATCATTTAAGTTTTAACTGAGTTCCTCTTGGCAATTTATTTCGTGTTTGTTTTCATAAAATTTCACAAATTGAATTTGCATGAAATTTGTGTCGAAAACTTGCAAATTTGAGTATAAAAAGAAAATAATTATATTTAAATTTTCATGAATAATTTCGGAAATGGAAATTATACTTCAGAAGTGTTAAAATGGAACTTCTTAAACGTTTTGTGCTATTTCATTTAAATTAAAAAATACAAATTGATTTTTGAAATTTCACAATAACAATAAATTGCACAATAAATTTAAAGAAAATTATTAAAAAATTGAAATTAAATAATTATTGCCTATATATGAAATTGATATAATCACCCATATATCTAATGATTAGCTATCTACATATAAACATTTCAAACTCTGTATAGACAAACGCAAATATACTGTTAATGATTTAAGGTTTCTTATTATTATATATTATCAGCTTAATTCACAACTCTATCTGAAACTCCAGAACCACATAAGATTACCTTTATGCAAATCACTTACATTCGCCTCATGCTTAAGGCAACTCAATTTACCAAAATTAAAGTATGCATAATTTTCGCATTTCAGTGTATATAACCCCATTATTTTTTATGAGGAACTACACAGGAATAATACAAAAAGAACATTTTCTAATCTTCTTAAAAATAGTTTCTATTTAAGAAGTAAGTATTATGTTATTTTAGAAAGGTATATACAAGAAAAACTTGCTGTCATTGTTACCATAACTCAAAAATAAATTCGACTTTAACTAAACGTTTGCCCAGTACTCAAGCATCTCTTTAACACTTACTGACACCAAGTAGTCCTCAAATCAATTCTCATCCTACCAAACCAGCTGGATCAGGGAACATCTTACAGTACTTGTTTCGTTTAAATTTTAAAATCAGATTACAGAGGCAATTATAATGTATAACTTCCTTTATATATATATAAATTCCTTTAACTCCTCTATGTTGCGCATAGATCCGCAACAGAATCAATTATAAGCCAGTGATTTAAGTCTTGTTTCAAGTTACATGAGCAGCCCATCTAATTCAATGAGCCCAAATCTTGCAATATAATCAAAACTTCAAAATTAGTCTTATTCGGTACCGCACTGCTTCAATACCTGCTGCACCAGTGATTCTACTAGTTAACTGTCAATTTTCTAAGTTCGACTAATTCTACTAATTTTCTACGATTTTCCGTATTACGTGGCCAACCTATCTGATACTGTGTAAGCTTTCCAATAAAACCTGTATTTATTGTTCTTATTTGATACTACCCTAGTTCTACTTCTTTCGAACCACCAATTCCCAACCAACTTTGAATTTGCTACATCTCACTAATTGAAGTTTTTGCACTACATGATCAATAAAATTTGATTCTTTAATCTCATGTCTTGTAGGAAAATTAAAATTTTACCATCTGTTCTTATTAAGTATAAGTCTACTTTTACTTGAGTCGGACCAGCACTTCCTCTGACACGCTTTCCATTTACTACGTATCACTAATTCAAGTATCCAAATTAAAATCAATATCTAAACATTTGTTCTGCTCTACACTGTTCTGGTTTTATTCTTTACGGACCAGCAACTCTCTTGATGAATTTTTAATTCCTTCCGTTTCACTAACACACTTCAGTGCGTCTGAATATGAGAGCTCGTACCTTGAAATAAAACCAAAATCTTAACATTTGTTCCTTTTCAATATTAGACAACCTCCACTCATTTGTTCCTCTTCAGTACTAGCCTACTTTCACTCATATCGAACAAGCAATTTAACTAATGAAGCTTTTATATCTTATGACCAATCCATGTAATTCTGTGAGCCCATATTTGCTAATAAAATTCAAAGCTCAAGATCTATTTTTATTAAAGTAGTTCTCTGCTTCAATTCCTGTCAGACCAAAATTTTTCTAATAAATTTTTAACTCGATATTCTCGATAACTCGAAATTAGTAAACTAATTTAAGTTTTTCCATATTTTTGAAGTTTACCATTTGTTCTTATCTGGTACTACCATACCACCATACCAGTCTAGTAATTTTTCTCAAAACAATTTCAATTCCCTATATTCTACTAATTTATCAGCTACATAACCGGTACGTCTGTTGTGTTACTTGATCTGATTCTTTGGGCCTGCATTCAATAATAAAATCAAAGCTCTAGTTCTGCTATAGTTCTGCTTTTACTAAAGTCGGACTAGTATTTCTCTCATCAAACTTCCAATCTACTGTACATAGGCGATTGATTTAGCTTTAAAATCCACGTTTCGGATCCATAGAAAAGTATTGGATTGAATATCCTTTCACTATTTTGATTTTGTTGCCCAATTCCCATCACTATAAAAGGAACTTACACTTCCGAAATAAATTTCCCATGCCACAAACTCTAAACAAGACATGTTTTGCTGCATGTGATACCATCCCCAATAGGAACCAATCATCTTCCAAATTCACATCATCACCAAAAAATATGAAGCTATAAGTCCGAAAAATTTCTCATGAAACAAATTCAAAACAAGATGTATTATCCAGCTCTTGGTGTCATTCTCTTGAAGCCACATAGCTTCCACATGTAACATTAAAGAGAGAAAAAATACCAATACCAAATACCAAAATACCAATAAAATAATTTGTCTTGCATTAAATTTTAATTATATTAATTAATAATCTGTAATTCAATAGGATAAATTTAACAAGCAAATATGTAGTTCACAAAAATTTTATATACGGGGGCGGTTTGATAAGTCAGTGACTTTTTGAAGTTCACGCGCAGTTACTCCAAATGCAACAGTGCTGCCGTCAGCTGTAATCTACCAGTGGGCAACTTTTTCATTTTGAGCAAGCTACGTCGTTCAGTTGGTGTTTGATAGCCGTTCAAAGCAGGCAACCTCATAAATTTTGACGAAAATGGAAAATAGTGAATTTCATGTGCTAATTAAGCATTACGATCCCAAATCCACGAATTGGGATACGAACTGTTTCCATCCAGCATATTCTCCAGATTTAGCTCCCTGCGACTATTTTCTGTTTCCAAACCTAAAGAAATGTCTAGGCGTTAAGAGATTTGAGTCGAATGAAGAAGTCATTATCGAAACAAACGCGTATTTTGAGAGCTTTGAGAAAATCTATTATTTGGAGGGAATAAGAAAATAAGAAAAACGCTGGACTAAATGTATCGAGTTAAAAAGTGATTATGTAGAAAAATAAAATGTTTATTTGCCGAAAAAAATTTGTTTTACTCAATAAGTCACTGACATATCAAAACGCCCTCGTTTAACTTTAGTTTTTAGTTGATTAATGCTTTGAAACCTCAGAAGATATATCCAAAAGTTAAATAATTCTTACAATTTTAACTAAATTTATTCATTTTTTTTATTAAATTTTGTATTTAGATACTTTTAAAGTATCTTATTACAAAGAAAATTGAAATCATCAAAGAAAACATAACCGCTCATCAATTTATAAAATTTTCTTTATAAATTATTTTTCAAAATACCTTTTTCCATTGATATGACTTGGAAGGTATTAAATCATCAAACAGGGAAGCAAAATTTTCATATTTGATATAAATATATAAAATAAATTGTATCTGAAAATAATTAACTTTTGATTAGAATTGCTTAAAATTAAACTTCATAAATAAAAGTTAAATAATTTAAAATCGAATGGGCATTTTTTGGACATTAGTAACATTCTGTAAATACTTGTATTTATTTTTTGTCCGAAGCCCTCAATTTAACTTATTTAGAGATAGTGTAACTCAGGTACCTTTTTGAGTTCTCTAGAGATTACTAACAAAGTTAGTTGAAATATAGTATTAGGCTCAATAATAAATTTTCTTTTTCCTTTTTTGATTGTGATTATATTAACCTAATAACCTGTAAAAAAGTACTTTAATTGCATGGCAACCCTTACTCATATGTTTGATTATTAAGATATTTCAATCAGTTAAATATTTAATATTAGATAAAAATGTAGAAGAGGTCTTAGTTTCTTTCTCTAGAGAAAGAGTTCAGCTGCATAAAATTCAGTAAAATTATTTTGCAAATTGGAATATTTTTATTGCTCATAACTTAAACGTAACTAATTACGGTAGTTTATTATTTTACCTTATCTATTCCATAGAACAAAGTGGGCTCATTAAAAACTAACCTAAAATAGACAAAAATGCTCATGTATAAACGGATGTGTGTATCTCTCGAAATGAGTCCTCAATTGCTTGGCTAATTTTTGTAACGTAGAACAAAATAAATCTGACTACATTGTGAATAAATGCTGGCGTGCTTTTGATCCATTAAGTATAAATACTTTTATTTAAAAAATGCAAAAGTTGTTAAGATAAATGGCAAGCCAACAGCTTCCTACTTTAACCTACACAGTCGACATTAGCCCAAAAGTTTCATGAAGATATGCTCGCTCGCTTACCGTTGACGTGGGCATACATGGTATACCTTATTTTGGTCCTAAAAATAAACCCCAAAGCACGTGTATGTAAAGTTGAGATTGAGATGTACCATAAGATTATGTATGAAAAAAATTTTAAGTTGAACAAAAAAGTACAAAGATTTCGTATACAATCAGAAGAACATTTATTACTTTTACATGTATTGTATATGTACGACCTACTCGTACGTCATGCAATACCGAATCTTTTATTACAGAATCTGTTGACAGAAGGACCTTTACCATTTCAAAATTAAGTAATAAAAAATTGTTGTGTGTAAAAATGGTTTTTCCTACTTCTTTACAATTTGCTATTTTGGAAACATTGTGTTTATTGTGAACAAGTGATATGTCAACAAAAATTTGTGATACTTCTAAGAAAAATTTTCTTTCACAACTTGCAGGTCTTTGGCTCGCCTAGCACACCGATATTGGAAAATCCTGAACATCAAACACGTTGGTATTTTAAATATTTCCTCGGCAGACGTAAGTATAATCTAATCAATTTTCAATAAACAACTTGTATGAATTTTATGTTAAAATTTTATTTCAATTCGAACACTTCATAATGAAAATTGCTCAAAATAAGCCAGAAAGCCGCATTGGAATTAATGCCAACAGTTAACTTTTGCACAGCAACAGTTTTTCATTGCAATTCGATACAAATGTATCGCAACACAATCTTTATTGAATTTTTCAAACGTATTTGGGTTTATCCATTGATGCCATTAACAAAATGTCAGCAATGCCTTAAATCAACTTAGATTATCTAAAATTCCACTTCCAACTGCTCTGTTTCTTGTATACATTCATCTTTCATCTTCCCTCCATCATCCCTCCATCATCACTCCATTTTTGATTTTTTTTTTTCTGTTGAGTTTTCAATTTTCAAATCCATTTTATTTTCTGCCCTCTTTTTTCATATGGCGAATTCCTGCGGAAACACCAACAACCTTAACGTGTGTAGTGCATCAGAACTATGTTGGCAACGATGCCGAGAAGAATCCTTACTTTTTATCTGTGGTTTCACATGATTCGGGCAATCAAGGTGCGCCCATGTATCGTGCAATATTGTTTCGAAAACAGGTAAGTTTCTCCTTCGCCGGCACAAGTTGGCTGAAGTTTTTCTGCTCAAGTTCCCAGAGTGCTTCCAACTTTTGTTTACCTACACGTACAGCGCATTAGGCTGCTTTAAGGATACTCGTCCCTATCAATCGGCTTAAAAAATAAAACAGATACAGATACAGATACAGATACAAATACAGCGGTTGGGCGCTTGTAAGCTTCCTTTTATTTCAGTTGTAGGGACGAGTTCTAATACACAAACTTGACACAACTAACAGCGAAAAAATGTTAAAAGCGCCTCAATTTGTTGAAAGTAGAATAAGAGTAAATAGAAACTTTTTTAGCTATAAATTTAAATTATTAAAAGCTACTGCACAAATAAAATTTATAAGTGCTCAAGTGAGAGGGGTCTGTTTTATTTTATGAATTTACGATTTTATGATTTTTAAAAAACTTTTATATTAAAATGTAGTTGCGTGTGGAATATCCAAATATTTGCATTTGCTATACAATTTGTGTTCTATTTTTTTTCTTCCATCCACGATCTATTCTTTATTAAATCATTTATTGCAATAGAATTTTCATAAATACTGAAAATAGGAAAATAAAATGGAAATCATTTCCCTTTGGTCTCAGGAGTACGACACAAAAGTGATGAAAGCAATTAGAAAAAGGAAAAATTTCTTTACAAAAAAAAAAAAATACTAATATTTTCCTTTGATTTATTCATTATTTTTCTTTTTTCATATTTTCAATTTTTTTTCCTTTATATATACTATTGATTAGTATTTATTCAAGCCGTTAATTAACATCAGCGCGCTCTGTTGCATCCCAAGTTGAACATTTTTTTATTTTAAAATTAATGAAGAATGACCCAAAAGTGTGCTTCACTAATGAAACAGTAATATTTTTTTCACATAAATTTCGATTTGAAAATAAATAATAATCCTCCGTAAATGCTTATTAATTATGAAAAAAAACAAAGATTTTATAAATTGTTTTTAGTTCATTTATTTAACATTTGCTAAAATACATTTTCTCTAAAATTATTGATTCTATTTAATTCTCATTTTAAGAAAACAAAAATATAAATAAAAATAATAATAAATAAAAAAATATATAAAATATATTTTTAGTTTATTAGAGCAATAATCCTTTCAGACCAAAAACCATCATACCAATACAAGTCAATATAAATGAATAAGTTTATTTAAGACTAAGGTTAGAGGTTGTAACTTACGGTCTGATAATTTTGATAATATTCATTTTTAATTCATCATATTTAATATTTGACTTAAAACTAACAAAAGACTAAGGACTTAATATTGAAAAAATATTTCAACAACAGAACTTTTAACTTTAAAGACTTAAACCTTAAGAGATTTAGACAACTACAGTAATCCCTCCTATCAGCGGTACCCTTATAACGCGTTTTCATGTTACACGATTTCAAACCCCCATATAACACGGGCATTCCCCCATATAACGCGGGGATTTGTGCAGTTCAAAATTAGCTACGCGTACCTTTGCACGTGTGTATACAAGGTATACGTTATTGTATATAGTATACCTCTTATATAGTATAGTATAGTATACCTCTACAACGCGTTAGAATGATTCCGCGTTATAGGAAGGATTACTGTATATCTAAATCTGAACCGATCAATATTATTATTACTATGAGTGTAGTCTTCCACACCACACACCTAAAATCTAAATTAAAAATGAATACTTTACAAAACAAAAACAAAATTTTTAAATAAAAAACATGTTCGTAAATCGTCGGTTTTTATACAAGATGTATCTAAAAATTTGTTATTAGAAAAACATGTTCCCAAATAGCCAATTTTTATACGGCGTCAATATAGATACAGAATGTTCATGTTAGAACCATCTGAAAACATTTACATATGCAAGAATATGGTCAACGCTAGTGCCGAAAATATAGCCGAGTGTATTAAAGAGAGTGGTACCCAATACCTTAAGCCTGGTTCTGGACAAACCTGAACATAAACACAACAGATATTCTGGTGTCTTTTTTACGACTGTCGGTAGACACATGCAACAGTTGATACTACAGTGCAATGTATCAGTGCCCTGGACATAAACACAACAAGTGTAGTGTGTAGTGTCTACAGCCGGTAGACAAATACAACAGTTTATACTATAGTGTAAACCAAGCGTGGTCCCATACCCTCCTATGGATCAGTGCCCTGATAGAAGAGATACTCCTGATTTACTTTTGAGTACCAACTCAGAGATTAAATATTTTGAGTAAAATTGCTAAGTATCCCTTGACCTGGCTGCTGAAGAAGTTTATAGAAGTAAGACAGATTACATTCCATAAATCATGCCTAAGTTTTGAATTTTAAGTAAATATGTTATAATACCTAAATAAAGCTCAGATTTTAATAATAAAAACATATTTCTATTTTAGCAATTTATATGACAGCTATATCTATATCTAAACTGATATGAATAATTTTGTATGTTCTCTCATATAAATATGAACAAATCCGCTGTGCTAAATTTTTTATGAATATCTTTATTAAAAGTGTAGTTTTCTACATATCCAAATAGGTCCTCTTCAGTTCATATGACAGCTTTGAGATATAGAAATTCAGCTAATCCGAAAATTGATCAAGATCCATTAATTATTCCAAAAATTAAAGAACTGATTTAAACTGAAACAGACTGACGCAAACACCTAACTCATAGAGCTAATAAAGAATATGTATAATATACTTTTTAGATTCACATAGATCCCATGACGTCTTTTAATGCGCTACTAATACCTTTAAGCCGAAAAATTAATCAAGATCTACCCCTAAAAAGTATGTGCACAAAGTTTCATTCAATTATCCCAAAAATTAAGGGACTGATTTAAACTGAAACAGACTGACGCAGAGACTTAACTAGTAGAGCTGATAAAGAATGTGTATAACATAGTTTTTAGATCCTCGCAGATCTCACGACGTCTTTTAATGCTTTATAAATATATTTAAATTGAAAAATTGATCAAGATCTGCTCCTAAAAAGTATGTACGCAAAGTTTCATTCAAATATCCCGAAACTAAGGGATAATTAAAACTGAAACATGCTTTATAAATATATTTAAATTGAAAAATTGATCAAGATCTGCTCCTAAAAAGTATGTACGCAAAGTTTCATTCAAATATCCCGAAAACTAAGGGATTAATTTAAACTGAAACAAAATGATGGACAGACTTAACTTGTCGAGTTGTTTAAGAATATATTTAACATGCTTTATAAATCCTCGTAGATTCCAAGACACCTTTTAATCGATACTAATATTATACCCATGCCGTGATAATTTTATTTCTAATCAGTAAAATTATTCTTGAAAATTTATCTAGGCTATTTGCACACTGAGAGGATGTTTCCCAATTAAATAAGAAAGTCTGTTTATTTTTTTATTGAAATTAGTTTTCTCATATATGGATATATAGATGTTTCAAAGAACCTTTATTTATTATATTTTTAGAAAAGAAAATAAAATAATAAATGTAAATAAAACTTCGAATTGAGCATTAAAATAAGAATAATATTCTGGATTATAACAATAATTGGATTTTCCTTCATACGATAACCCAATCAATTTCAATTTTTTTCAATTGTTATAAAATATATATATCACATATATAAATCTTGAAATTTTGGAGTGATATATCATAAATGCATAAATACCAATTTTTGTGCTGGTAAATTTGGAATTCGTACCAAAAAAGCAGAACTCCACAAACAATTCCAAGCGAAATGCAAAAACTCAAGCTAAACTAGGACAGAGTCTAGTCGAAGCAATAATTTAGAAAGGTTATAAATAAGGCAGCCGACTGTGTTTGGTTTTGCATGCCCCACAGCTCGCACTGGCGAGGTTTTTCGGTTTATGCACTTACAACTTTCCATTAAAAAAAAAAAATAGTAAAAAAAAAACTATGTCAGACCCAACAAATTTTTATGCCATGGCAATACGATGCACTTAACACTAGCCAAAGTGCAAATATACACGAGACTCGTCCTATATGCACACTTTTTTCGATTTATATGATTGTAAATATGTATATATATATGCAGTTATATACATATATATGTATTAATTTATGTACTTGATTTGTATTTTTGCCGTGCCATTTGTAGGAGTTAAATAAAAACGCATACGAGTTGCGTGTCGAGACCAAATGGTACGCAAAAGATAAAATATCTGCTGGTCCGTAAAAATTAGTGAAATTAAAATTTTTTTTGTGTAAATTAAGTTGGAAACCCAAATTTTAAAATTAATTGAATTGTATATATTGTGGAACAATACTCTTTAAATGCTGCGGGTTAAAATTGGTTTGGCGGGCAACAAAAACAATATTAAGTTATTTTATATGTAAAAATAAAGTTCGTATTGCCAGTGGCGATTTCTGAGTTTCAGCATTTTGAGCCAATAAGATTTTTTGCCCCATATTTAAAATAAAATAAAAAAACATTTAAATTTTATTAATGAAAAGTTCATATAAAAGAGCACCAATTATTTATAAAGTATTTAAATTATTTTGTGGTGCACAAATTGGCTAAAGAATTCTTCAAAAAATTCAAACAATTAATGAATTTCTTTAAGTAAAATTCTATAGGGTATTTACCCATGTAACCTGGAGTTTTTTAAAACAGGTATATAAATATATATATATATATTATTATATATATATGAAGCTAGTTGAGTCAGTGCACTTGAGCACTTTTACTCTGTATTAACTGCGAGGTTTCTTCATAATCCCTCTCTACGCCTTGACTGGTTTATTTTATTCACTTCATCAGACTAAGCAATAATTGACCTCAGCTCTGCATACTTCCCCGAGGAACCTGTAATCATTCTGAGATTCGATAACGCGGTCTTTGAATGCCTATCAGTTTTTGTAAATAATTTCAGGGCTCTATGCTTTATGTATTTTTTGATCGAATCAATCTTAGGGTCCCTAAAAATGTCATTCGTCCTAATGCACCATGGTACCTTGAAAAACCTTCTCAGAGTCTGTCTTTGTGCAATTTCTAGCTGACGAATATTACAAGAAGAACACCGATTTTATTTGTGTTTTTTCGAGTCATTGAGTATAGATCTGCTACTCGTCATTCCACTACTGGCAACCGATATAGTTGGTTTGTTGCTGTGGATATAATCGCTCTTCTAGGCATAATCGCAGGTACTTTCAATTTACTACAAACAACAGATGTCTACGGTGTGAATGAGCATCATGTCTCAAAAAATTATTTACGAATATTTAAATATAAGAAATAATTTCAAGACCACTGATAGGTATTTGACAATACTTGAAACAGTACGGTCAGCCAAAAATTTAATTAATTAAAATAATATAAAAATAATTTTTGTTGTTGTAGTTCACTTCTTTTTGAAACCTTTTCATTACATACAACAATTTCTTCTAAGCAAAAATATTCACTACAGTCATATTGATGTTAAAATCAAGTAAAATGTTTATATTTAAAAGGATTATTTTTTTAGTACTAACTTTGGTTGCAAAATAGCATTACTTATTGATTATTTATTAATATCAATTAATAGTTGTGAATATTCACTACATTTATAATTTTTTAAAGGCAATTTTAAACAAATATTTTGTTCCCCATCGTTTGTATCCACACTGGAACCATCTTCACCTGCATCGATTCTAATTAAACTTTCTAATAAAAAAGCTTTTAATTCAGTAATTATAGTTTAGATTTTTTAAGAACATATACAATTGTTTTTTTTTTGTATTATTTTTTTCTAATATTCTAATTACTTGCTACTAAACCACATCACAATTCATACTTAAATATGCAGAATAATCCTTCATTCATATTAGCATTTACTCTAAATTCCATAAAATTCCATAAAAAATTAAAATAAATTTTAAAAATTGATAGTAATGTATATTTATTATATAAAGACTAATAATGTAAGTTCTTAAAATAAAAAAGTGTGTATTATATTTGTATTTATTTTTATATATATACTACTCTTCTATATAAAATTGCTAATATTTCGAAGTTTTTTGACTTCTAATAAATAGAATGTACTATAAAAATACAAAAATACCAAAATATGAAAATAAATTATTTTTTATTTATTATTTATTATATATGGCAATACCCAAAACAGTGCTGTATAGTCAGCCAAATTTCAATAGATTAATAAAGTTTAGTTCTTGTCTTTTCTTTGCTATTCGAATCCGTCTAAATTTTAAATAGTTTCTTTTCGTCATAAAGACGAGTCTCTATCGGCAAGAAAATATTAACAGAAATTATTATAATTTTTTGCAACATATTTTAGACTCAAAGCCTCACTTCAATCTGTTGATTGTAATGTAGATATAGATCCATGATTCCCTCAAAAAATATTTTTCTATAATTCTATTCTTCTGTGATCAAACACCTTTTATTTATTCCTGTATCTTTAACTATATGACACAGCTATAGGTACATATTCATTATTATTGCCAGTAAAAGTAGTAGATTTGAAGCATATATGAAATGTTAACTGTGGAGTTTTATTATGGACTTCTAATCCCAGATTTTTTATTTTCAAATTAGTTTCTTTTATACTATTTATATTGGTATTCATTTGACTTTTGATTGAGTAGACGGTGTATGAATGCGTTTTCTTAATAAGTCTTAAGTATTTAAGTATATCTATATACATAAATATATATATAAAAATATATTATAGTATATATATAAATAGTATATATTTTTAAAGAAAATATATCCGCAGAAACTATTTTAAAAGAATTGAGTTCGAAATAAATACTTTCTAGAATACTATAGTATTTCTATAGAAACAATACATGGGGTAGTATCTTAAGTCAAAATCGCTAAAGTAACGTAATCCCTCAGATTAACATCTAATTCAATAGAATGCCTAAAAAGCTATGACAATTGTTAATTGGATAGCGATGTTTCAACCAGTACTTATTTAAATAATGTAAATAACTCTCTTTGCTCACACTGCTCTGAAGAACTCGAAAACACATAACTCATCTTATTTTCCTGCCCCCGTTTTGAGGTAGAAAGAGCGAATGTGATGCTTCTTTTTAGGCTGCTATTAAATATTGCAAGCTTAATACAAGAAAGGTGTGGGTGACTTACGGTCTACAGATTTGCAACTAAAGAAATGACTGCACTATAAATAATAGAATGATTTCGCAGAACAAACAGTAGAATGGAATGATTGAGGACAAAGTTAACAAGCCAACAAACTTAACGTGAGTACCAGGAGAATACAACCAACCATGCAGAAAAGATATTAGCGAGTTAAAGTTATGCACTACCCTTCTCTGTAATTCTCTAGCCATCATAAAAGTGACACTTCAGTCACCACAAGTCACTTCAGAGACGTCAAATAACGCTATCTTGGAAGTTACGCCTGTCATACGAAATATTACCTTCACATTATCTTCACAGCTAAATGTGTTACCAACTTCCATGGGCAAACGATCACTTTCCAAATATTTTCACATACGCTCTGAACACAAGATAATTAAAAAGAACTAAGTTTAAGTATCGGTTCAAAACAATTTGTTTTCTTTAGATCTGGTACACAACCCTCTTTTTTAATTCTCTTTTGAGATCTTTTTACCAATTATGAAATTAATCAATACTTCTGGTTCACTGTTCATGGTGATTAGGAAAAAAATACATTTTATTGTAAATAATTAATAAATAAATAAAATAATACAATAAAATATAATTATAATTTTAAATAAATGATTAAATTATTATTATTTTATTATTAATATTATTATTAATTATTAATTAATAATTCATTAAAGAATTTATAAAAAAGTTTTTCGAAAAGTATTGAACTACAACAAAAAAAACTCATTTTATATTATTTTAATTAATTGAATTTTTGACTGATCATACAGCTGTTTCGAATATTGCCAAATACCCATTATCAGTGGTCTTGGAAATAATTCCTGTATTTAATTATTCGTAAATAATTTTTTGAGACTGCAAGCATCAGAAATCGAACTCGTACCCTGCCAAATTTGAAGCTCAGAGTCAGCACTCCTGAACCACATTTTCTTCTAGAGTTTTGTTACTTTGCTGTGAAAGCTTTATTAATAAATTCACTTGCTGTGTTTATATTGGAACGGGAATTTATTGAAAAAAAAATATTAACATATTTATTAATCGATAGACAATTCCAGAAAAATAAATTTATTTACTTTGTAGTCCTTATTCCATATCCTCTGTATGAAAACTCGAGAATTCATGCCGAGCAATTGATGATTTAAGAACTGGTTTCTATGTAATTCAAGAATACATAAAAGTTTTGGTAGCATTTGAGGTACATCAATGATTTCGTTGACATTTTGCCTGCAAATATTAATTTATCTTTTTTCTCATTGCGTTTATTCGACGACCGGAAATCGAAAACCGTGCTCCATTTTAATTTTTTTTCATATTTTTTTTTTTGTTTTTTACTACAATTCCAAATGGATTACCGAGGATATTAATTTGAAAATATGCAAAGCGGATTTGTGGTTTGCTGAATGAGTTTTTTTCCGCACTGAATACTATAACTTTTAACTGCTTAACTCACCCTAAGTAAATTTAAGTTGCAGAATTTAAGCAATTTTAAATAAAGAAAAAAAAACTTAAAAACAAAAAAAAACTAAATAAATAAATAAATAAACTCGACTTCATTGCAATATTGAGTTTGCGAGAAACTTTTAAGAAGCAATTAAGCTTGAAATGCAATTTTCAATAAATTACTTTAAAATGACTTTTTTATTGAAATACAGGGTACACAGAAAATTGCATTGCCGTACCAAGCGAATCAGAAACTAACCGTGAAACAGATATTAACTCACTTCACTGGCATTGACCATCGACGACAAAGAATCCAAAGGAAATATTTGCTGCTGACATACAGAAGGATCTGCTGTTGTTGGAGGAGCAGGAAGGTTCGGTGAATTTTAAGTTTGGCGTTGTCTACATGAAGCCAGGACAAAATTGTGATGATCAAATGCTTAGCAATCGTAAGTACTGAAAAGAGGATTATAAAGAAAATTTTCTTATCAAGCTTAACTAAAGTTAAATTAGAAAAGTAGTATGAAAAGTATGAATATAATCCTCATGTGGCATTTAGTTGACATCTAGTTACTTTCAAAAAAAAAACTGCATGAAACTTAAATTACTTAAGCACCATAAAGTGAGCTACTGCAACGCTGCTTTATATGCAACTGCAGGAAAAACCGTTAAATAATTTTGCTATTTTTTATGCATTTCCCCATACCCCATACCCCACAGCCCATACCACATAACTGACATTTTATCACGGTTCTATTGTTTTCCTACGTGCCACGTCTCCTTCTAAGAGATTCATTAAAAATTGTTGTGCATTGCGCTTTTGTTTCATTTGCAGAGGAAGCCAGTCAGGACTTCGAGGATTTTCTTGACGTACTTGGCGAACGTGTGCGGCTTAAAGGTTGGGATCGCTTTCGCGGTGGCTTGGATGTGAAAGGTAAGCACAAATACAAGTTGGAATATATATATATATATATATAGTATAGAAATATATTAAAGCAAAGAAACCTGCATTTGCTAGAGACTTTAAGTCATTTGTGGTTTTATGCGGAAAATGTGCTTATTTCATAGCGTTTCACAGTGTTATCATCAAAACTTGAAGTCAAATTACTATTCCATGAACTTGCATAAAATATTTAGTGGTTTTATCTGTATTTATATTTTTTCCACTTTTTCTGTTAAAGGTGATATGACTGGCAAATATTCTGTTTATACTATGTACGAAGGACACGAAATAATGTTTCATGTTTCAACACTTTTACCCTTTTCAAGGGATAATCGACAACAGGTGCGTCATTATAAATGCTTAAAGTTCAATTGAGTGCATTTATCGTATGAATTATAATAAATTTAAGCAGACTTTTTTCGAATCCTTACACAAATTTGTTTTTTTTTTTCATTTTCTTACAGGTGGAACGTAAACGTCATATTGGCAATGACATTGTCAATATTGTATTTATTGATCAAAATACTGTCAATACAAACACGTTGGGTGCCACGCCACCTGATAAAGTTTTGCCAACAATGTTTGACCCCACTTGGATTAAAAGCCAATTTACACGTATCCTTTTCCACTAACCAATTAAGATTAAATTACTTTTAATAATTTATTTCACCAATTCAAACTTTTCTTAACTCAAACCTTAACACAAACACAGATATTTTTGCAGTTGTTACGAAAATCGAACAAACCTTCCGTTTGGCCGTGTTTTGTGATGAGAATGTGCCACCTTTCGGACCAACGCTACCTAATCCACCGGAGTTTTCGGTAAGTGAAATACACACCCAAAAATGCTAAAAGGTTTATAATTTTTTATTTAATTATCTGATTAAGCCGTTTACAAACGGAAAGGTTTAGTATAGCTTACCTTACGTTTGGAACTACGTTTTGTATAATTTAAATGATTTTTATAATCTTTTAAAAAAAAATTTTTTCCCCAAAATCACTTTTTTAATTAAAAGAACATAATTTTCTTTTTTCTTAAATTATTTTTTATAGCAAAACATTGTTAAGCGTTTTATTTTTGTTATAAAACGAAGCACAAAATCTGTTGAATGTAATATAAATTTTACCGATTTTATATACTTCAAAAAAAGTATTTTTTTCTACAAAATACTTATACACTAATATACTAAAATAAATACTAAATATATACTAAATAAAACACTAAATACATTAAATTGAAATAACTTTAAAATAAATAACGTTAAATAAATTTAACGTCATTTTTTTTTTCAAATGAGACGTGTCTTATGACAAACTAAAAGGGTTTGAACAGTAATAAAGAAACAACAACAAAAATTTTGTTTAATTTATTAAAATTTTGATTAATTATTGAAACGCTCTTTTGAGTATTGTCAAGTACTCATCCTTATGGTTCTTAGGCAATATTAAAACTGTTATTTAATAGTTAGAGGGATTCGAATGGTAATAAAAAGACAACAACAAAAACTTTAGTTAATTTTTGAAATTTGGTTGCCCATGCAAACGTTGTTTCGAGTATTGCTAAATACTTATCATCAGTAATCTTAGAAATACTTACCTAAAATTCATTATTTTTAATGGCTCCGAAACAATCCATAATAGGTAGACTCAGAAAAAAATATGGTCTAAATAAATACAGGTTAATTTGACTTGATAATTTTGTTAGAAAATTTTTATGTCATGTGATAAAGAAGATATAAAAATCAACATGTGAACCAACCTGATATATCAAGTAAGAATATTTTGACCTAAGATTTAGTTAAAATCTGGTTAAATCAATCAATTTATTTTTATGAGTGTAGTTATAACGAGGACAAAACTATTTTTCTTTATAGAGAGTTGAGGTGGTTAAGAAATAATTTCCAAATATTGTGACCTAACATAATTTCGAAAAACTATTGAGAGTGATCCATCAGTAGAATATTAACACTGAATTAAAAAAAAAGATATATGGTTGCCAGGGTCATACTCTAGTTGGTACCCACAAATTGCAAAATGTCGTGGAAGACCTCAATCAACGACATGAACAAGGACAGTTTTAATGGAACTTAGAAATCATTTAATGAACTGTGTACTAATAGCACACAGTAATAGCCTTAAGCTTCTAAAAAGTAGTAGGGAAATAATAATTATATTGCGACAATAATAAATTTTATTAAATGATATGATGTCGATTTAACTTATTTTGATACTTAATCTGATGATTAAAAAAATGATATTCATGTTTTACTACCGAAAATAAACAATAAATTATTAGGGATTATGTGTTGAGAAGAGTAGATATATGTTAAATATCAATAATAAGTATTTGTAATTTTAAATGAATATTATTTGAACAATAAAAAGAGATGACTAATTATTTCAGAGATTAATATACTGAAATTATTATAAAAAATTTATGAGAAATAATATATGCTTTGTGATGTGAAATGTTGGATTATATAGAGTACTTAATAGTATTTTGGCATATATTTCGTTTACGTTGAAGTAGTTAATCCTTCAATATATACTGTATATAAATACCATTTCATATAAATAAATTGAATTTATTTTGTATATTTTGAAAGCCAATTAAATTTAAATTGTATTTTCTGTTTTTAAACCAATTCAAATCCTTTGAATTCATTTCTGATTTTTATTATTGAAAATTCAAATCAGCGAATTGAGACTTATTTGAATATCATATAAATATATATATAATATTTTTTCATTCCAAATATTTTTTCTACATATAATTTAATATCCAAAAAATAATTCTCTATAGTTCGAAATAATTATTCAATTTAAACTTTTTTCTATTTAATTACAAGTCATTTAATTGAACACTTCTGTATGTCACATTTAAAACTGAAAATATCAAAATAGAACGATTTGTTCTGACAATCAATAAAAACTTTTTGTTCCATTGAATGGTGAAAAGTAAATATCAAAAACTACAATTATTTATTGTTTATTTTTCAATTATTTGATTATTTGCAGTGAAGGTTCAAGGCTTTCGTTTTTATAACTGAAAAATATTGATTTTATGGAATTCACGTATTTTCAAATCAATGCAGATATATAATTAAAGGACCTTCTTCAACTGCAATGCAAACAATTTCATAATTATTTTTTTGATTATGACTACTAAGCAAATAGGTTGGGATTTTCTAAGCTAATGCATCCTTAAAGACGCACTTCATCTGTACACACCTACGAGAATTCTTGAGTACAAAGAGCGGTGTTCGCAGGAACACAAAGCGAATTAATTCACATGTCTTACACACGCACACTTCAAACATTTCACATCAGAAATGAAAGCAATTTTCGTTTGACGTGGCCTTTTTAACCATAAAAGCTGAGCTGAACTGAACTGAAATGCTGAACTCCGTTTATGGAATCCCATAAGAGCGGGGTTCTTTGTGTGAAGTCAAGGAACTTAATTGTTACTTGAAAGGAAATCCGAAATCCTAACAAAGATCATCACTTTAAGAAGAACTTAAGCAAGGCAAATGAAATTACAACTCGCTACTTGATATGTTTCCTCAAGCGTTAATGAAAGCCAAGTAAAAGCCTTTATTAAGCGAACACGTAGCGTATGAGTGGCTTTTTGTAGAAAAAATCTATTATAGGATATTATTGTAGGCTTTACAACTTTAGACTCATA